ATTTGGTATTTTTTGTGTTTCTATACCAATATTAGTATAGGTTTTTCTAAACTGTATGAAGGATATTATTGGTATTTTGATTTGGATTGCATTGAATCTGTAGGTCACTTTGGGTTGTGTGGGCATTGTAACAATATTTCAGTCAATGAATATGGGATGACTTTCCATTTTTGTATATCTCTTTTTTTTCCCTTTGGTACTGGGGATTGAACTCAGGGCCTTTGCACTGAGCTACATCTCTAGCACCAATTAAAAATTTTTTATTATGAGACAGAGTCTCACTGATTTGGCCAAGCAGGACTCACACTTGGGACCCTCCTGCCTCAACCTCCCCAGTGTTGGGATTACATGAATGGACCGTCACACTTGGCCTTTGTGTGTTCCTTTTAATTTTTTATTTTTTTTATACCGGGGATCAAACTCAGGACCTTGTGGTTACAAAGCAGGCGGCGGAACCACTGAGCTAAGTCCCTGGTGTTCTTTTTAATTTTTTCAATGTTTTATAGTTTTAATTATAGAAATCTTTCACCTCTTTAGTTAAATCTATTCCTAGAGGGTTTTTTTGGATAGCTATTATAAATTAGATTTCTTCCTTTATTTCTCATTCAGATAATTTGATATTGGAGATAGAAAGCTACAGATTGTTTTTGTTTTCTTTTCTTTTTTTTTTTTTTTTTTTTGGTACCAGGGATTGAACTCAGGACCTTGCACTTGCAAGGCAGGCACCAGAACCACTGAGCTAAATCCCTGGCCCTATAGATTGTTTTTGTAGGACACATCTTTCATTAAAGTTATGTTTATAAACTACTTGCCCAATATAGTAATGTATAAGAGAAAAATTACTCCTACAAACCTGAATATGAACATAAACTCTACACAACTTATATCATATATACAGGTTACAAGAGTAGAAGGCTACACAAACTTGTGTGATTCTTGAAAATACAAAAGTAGTTTGAGAAAGATAGGTCTCAAGTACATTACATGCTGTTCTGAGGTTGTCCTGTATCCTAGTGAGACAGTGAGCCCCTTTTCATCATGGCTAGTTAAGCCACAACATTTGGAATTTCTCATTTCAACTGATTTTATTTTATTTTATTTTTTATCCTGCATGTGGGGGTCAAACCCAGGGCTTTAACCATGATAGGCAAGTGCTTTACCAATGAGCTATATCCCTAACCCTCCTGATGTTATTTATAAAGTTCATTGACATCAACGTATGTAGTCCTTCCTTGCTAACAGACTTACCACAGTTCGCCTCTATCTCGATTGAAAGGCCTCGTAAAACGAAAATAATATTTTCCAATTGCTTTGTATCATCATCCTCACTTCTGCTCACATGTCAATATCCCTTTACACCCTTTCCCTTCATATTCTCCTTCATGCCTTGAATATTCCTCTCCTCTAATCTAACTAGGTAGTATCCCCATGTGGTCTTTCAGCCTGTTTCCAAATAATTGTTCCCATATATTTATCTTTAGTCCTATACAATTAGCACTTAATCATTCCTGTTTCATGCATGTTAAACTGTAGGCTTTGTGATAAGTGGGAATATAGTTCCTCACAGCATGTTATCTTAGGCTGCAGCACTCAACAAATATTTGTTGAGTGGATTTTATTAGCTTATGACCTATTTACTATTGAACCCTGTATTAGCATAGTTGTCTAAAGGTGAATATTACAATTATTTTCATTGACAGTGGCCTTGAGAGTGTGATAATAAGCAACTTTGACTTAACTATAAAAAGTTTTTCTTTTATTTGTCCACAAAATATTCTAATGGAATTCTCATTCATCTCTTCTATAAGGTTCTGCATTTTATAATTGTAATATTATCTAATTTATTAAACAGCCTAAACCATCTTGTTTACATTATAAATTCTGTTATTTTAATCCTAGCAATAGGTTTAAATCACTTCTGTTAACATTAGTGTATATTCTGTATTGGAAATTGGTGATTAGGGGATATATGAATTTATTTATTTGCATGAATTTCTTGTGTTCTCCTTATTTTGAAAAAGAGACCCCTGTCAGCATTTAGCTTGTTTATTCCATCCAGTATTATAAGAAGATAGATTTGTGCCCAAGGAAGGAGATTTGGTTAAGTCATTATCCTACTTCTGAAGTAGTATACCATCATCATATTAGCTGTTTTAAAAAAATGAGATTCTAGCCTTTCATTGTCTCCAGCAATACCATTAGATACTGTTTGGTGGAACCATGCTGATTTAAAAGTGAATGTCTTTCAGAAGTTAGATACCAATTATGACTTCATTTGTTACCCATATAAACTTTCTTTTTCTGGTTTTTTTTTTTGAGATAGGATCTTGCTATGTAGTTGAGGCTGGCCTTGAACTCACTGTGTAGCCCAGGCTACATTTTGTAACATGGACAATGATGTAAACTTCATAAAGTTTCTCTGTGAGCCCATGAATTAATAAGACTCATTAGAAAGCTACAGAATTCAAGAAAACAAAGTGAGATTGGTGAACGAATAGACACAAATTAATGGAATCTAGAAATAGGTTCATACATAGAGAATGGACTTTTTTTTTATGAAGGTGGGAAAGCAGCTAGTAGAGAATTGATAACTACTTTAAAAGTGGTGATAGAAATATTGGACATCTGAAAACAACAAAAAAGGAAAGTTGTACATCTGTATTCGAAATAGTGAGCACAGTAAATCTCAGCCAATCACATATGCAAAACTGAAGTAAAAATAAATGACTGTTATTCTTCCCTTGTCTGTACAAAAATGTGTTGGAAATTCTAGCACTTAGGTGATAGAAGAAATAGAAGTCATTCATATTGAAAAGGAAGAAGTAAAGCAATTTCCTTTTCTAAGATGACATAATCTCTTATATAGAAAATCCAGTGGAACCCACCAGAAGTTAGTAGAGCTAAGAAACAAGTTCAGCGAAGTTGTAGGATGTAAGGTCAATTTACAGTCTGAAAAGTGAAATAAGAAAATAATTCAATTTCTGTATTTCATTAAAAAGTGTAAAATTCTTAGTAATAAATTAATCAAAGAAGCTGAGAATGGTGTTCATTGCCACTCCGGGCAACATGAGACTTTGGAGCTTATGAAAAAGAAGTTGTGACCTGAAAAATACAAAACAACGTTGAAGCAAGTTACAGAATACCTAAGAAAGTGGAAAGGAGTCCCAGCTTCTTGGGTTAGAAGATAATACTGTTTTTATTAGTAGATGTTTACAGTACATACTGATTACAGTCATCATGGGAGTTGGTGGTTGGTACATGGACATAATATATCTTAATTCTTTTTTCCATCCCCTGGCCTTATCCACGCTCCCTGCTCCTTCCAAGTCTTGAGCCCCTCCCATTTGTAAATGATCTGTTTTCATCATTTTCCCCCTTCAATTCTTTGGTCTCCTCCCCTCTCTCTTCCATCTCTCCATCTCTTATCAATTTGAAAAAGAATCTCCCTACTTCCTGTTTATCTTCTACCTCTCTCTTTCTCCCTTTTTCTACACACACACACACGCACACATATATAATATACACACACTTTTTTCCTCATATAAAATAAACCATGTGATAAGCTTGTGCATTTGACTTATTTCACCTAATATTATGGTCTCAATTTGTATCCATTTACCTATGAATGCTTCCAGTTTATCTTTTTTAATATATATATTTAAAATTTATATTATTGTTTCATCAAAAATTTCCTTTTTCCTGTCAAAAATTATTATACATCTTATACAAAACCATATAAATAACCCTGATTTTCTTCAAATTCCATATATAAAAGTAGTACCTTTTGTTAAAAATAATTACAACGTATGGAATAAGAAAATATATAGAATATATCCTTTCAAGTATCTTAAATCCACACTCTTTAAATAATGATTTGTAACAAGCTGAGGTTTGTGAATTTGATTCACAAAACCTGTCATTTCTACCAAAATAAATACGAGACATAATACTGCAAAGGCTTCGGTAAAAATAAGAATGGAATCACTGCACAGAGCACTTGGTTCCCAGGTGTCTCCGCTTATGTCTCATGTCTCTGTGTGCGTGTGTGCTGTGTGCTGTGTGCACGTGAACCTCTGAGGCTGCCATGGCACCCGTGCCGTCCATAGCAGCCCCGTGACACAGGTACCCAATCCTTCTGTAGGAATCTGCACGCATCAAGTTTATCTTTCTTGATAGCAGAGTAATGCTCCATTGTGTATAAATACCAGTGCTCAAGTCCCTTATATAAATTGGTGTAGTATCTGCATATAGTCTATGTATATCTTCTCATAAACTCATTTCTAGAATAGTTAGAAGACCTAATATAATATAAATGCTATGTAAGTAGTTGTTATACTTTATCATTTAGGGAATAATGACAAGAACGAGGAGTGCTCAGTATAGGTCCACCCATCATAAGCCTATGAACAAAATAGATGCCTAACCATATTGAAACAATGCTGGAGAAAAGCCGAGGATCTATAAAACTGTAGGAGGCTGTAACAGGATATGCCTACACATTGCTTCACGTAGATTCAGAGTAGTCCTCAATGTATGGCAAATTTAAGATTTTCTTCCTGGAACTTGCTTTTGTTTTTCCCTCAAAATATTTTCAACCCACAGTTTCTTGAGTCCATAGATGTGGAATCCATAGATAGGGAGGTCTGACTGTACTCCCTACATTGATTTACAAATTCGACCTACTCCCTGTTACACGCTAATGTGGCTTTAAGCCCCTAGAAATTTGCAAAGTGTAGGCAAGAGGATTACGTTTTGTTGGATGCAGTGATCTAAGAAGGGTAGTACATCTCATTGTCTATAGAAAGACAGGGAATTCCTTTGCCATCCCCTAAGATGGCAGTCTCTGCACTTTGATTTGTTCCCACCCCATGTAATTTAATTCTCTTCTTAAGAATTCTGCCTTTGATACCTTTCTTCAGTTATTACTGGAGTCAGTGAAAGCCCTACTGGAGGCTGGGAAGTTTCCATCAGTGATGCTTTTCTTTGTTTTCTCATTATAGGGAAACTGAACAGCCAAGACTCTTACAATAATTTTACCAACAACAACCCTGGCAATCCCCGCCTCTCTCCTCTCCCCAGCTTGATGGTCGTGATGCCGCTGGCACAGATCAAGCAGCCAATGACATTGGGGACCATCACCAAAAGGACAGGGTAAGGCCCCAAACTCAATGCTGTGTCACAGCTGTTTCAGAGGGTTGAAAGAATAAAAATAAAAATACTTTGTCTTTGTGTGGTTTTGATTATGTTCTTCATTTCCAGCCCCTATGAGATGTCATGGCAGCAGATTAAGTACAAAGTATAGGACGTGCACAAACATCCTCACACACATCCATGTACACACACAGCCATGGAAAAAACAAAGTGGCAACAAGTTGTGAAAACGAGGATTGGCTAATAAAAACCAGACCCATGGACACAGTTTTGACTTGCTGCCTTATAGCACTGCCTCATAGTACAATTTGATTTTCTTTGTTTTTGCAGACATGATTGAGATTTAAAACCATTCCTAATTTTTGACATACCTAATAAGGAGAGCACATGCATCTATGTTTCCAGCACTTTTTGAAAATCATGTATATGAAATTTAATTTACATATAATCTTTCAATGTCAAGACAGGGTGATGAAACAGTTTTTAAAAGCTATAGTGTTCTAAGATTTGGGCTTTTTTTTAATTTGGTACCGGGGATCGAACTCAGGTCCTTGTGCTTGCGAGGCAGGCGGCGGAAACACTGAGCTAAATCCTCGGCCCTAGATTTGGGCTTTTAAGTAGTCATTTAATTTCTTCACCCTTATTTTAGCTATTTAAAGTGTTTATACCTATTAGGAATATCAAATTATTTCTTTGGGCTTCTGACAATAAACACATATCTGTTGTTATCATTAGGGACTCATTGCATAGTAATACTGAAAATGCATTTGGTACTTTAAAATAGGCAAATTATAATTTTTTTTTTCGTACCGGGGATTGAACTTGGGTCCTTGCGCTTGCGCAGCAGGCGGCGAAACCACTGAGCTAAATCCCCGGCCCTAAAATAGGCAAATTATTGATTGTCCTCAGTGAGAAACTCTAAAGACTAATCAATTTGAAATGGAAAAACTTCTGTATTAAAATTCTATGTTAAATAATAAGAAGATGGGCTTGGTGCTGCACGCCTATAATCCCAGCACTTGGGAGGCTGAGGCAGGAGGATCACTGTGAGTTCAAGGCCAGTCTGGGCTACATAGTGAGACTCTGTCACACACACACACGCACACACACAAAGTAAGAAGAAAACTGCTGTTGCCCTCAAAGAGACCTCAGGGTATTTTCAGTAAAAAGAACAGATTAAATTATTTTGTCGCTACATCAATATTTCTTAACATTTTCTTGCTGTTGTTAAAGTGTTTAGAGAAGTCATTTCTGTGAGAAGTTCTCAGTGTTCACAGGAATGAGTCCTTTGGGCTATAGTATCATTGTAACAGAAATGAACCCTGATACTTAGGTGTAGCGTGTAGTGATGTTAGCATATAAAGTGATCTTATTGCTGTATGCAGGAATAAAATTGGGTTTGTGACATATTAAGGGAAACTAAAGGAAAGATTGGTGCAGGTTCATTTGGCCTGTAAAGTTTTCATTTAACTTATTGTGTTCAGTGAACATATGCTTTTAAATAGAATTTTGACATGTCTTGTTTAACAGTTACAGAAGTGGCTATGAATAGTCAAAAAGCTATATCCTTATTTTCCTAGTTAACTCATCTTTTCATGGTATGATATTGCATTCTCTGGATCTAGAATCAAACACAAATGAGACTAAATATTAAATCAGAATTTTAAGGTATTTTTTTCACTTGCTGACATAATTATGTCTTCTCAATTCATCTCAGCATTGTACGGTTCTACAAAATACAAATTTTTGCATGTCTTTCCTGAGCCTAAGTGAAAGCATCTTCAAAGTACTTAATTCTGCATTTAGAGTGAGGGGACTATAACAAGATAGTTTAAAAGTTACCTGGAGACATGAAAGCATACTCTCATATTTTGTTTCTCTTGTGTTTATTTGTTGTTGTGTTATTTTAAACAGAAGAGCTATGCTGTCTTGTAATGCAAAGAATTAGCTCTCATAATTTTCTCTAGATGGCTCGGAGATTATGATGTAGTTTTATGCATTAAAGGATGTTAGAATGTAACTCAGAATATTTGTGGGCAGATTTGTTGACTATATTAGAAATTTTCCATAAGAAGGAGAAAAAGTCTTTTATTTGTTCCCTCTATTTTGCTATCTGCTTTTGCACGGCACTAAGATGGATAGAACTGTTAATCATCTGTTATTCTCCTGTGTTGCCAGAATTTATGAACTTAGATAAATTCTATTTCCTTTTCTTTTAAAAACCTTGCTAGAAGTTCTCAGCTTTCTGGAGAATACATACTATGTTCCCTCATATATAATTGAATAATTACTAATGAATAAAGTGTTATGAATTTAAGCGCTTTGAAATTAGAATTAGTGTAAGATATTTGTAATATATTACCGAGTAGGCTTTGTATCTCAGTTTTCAAATTACATCATTTCTGCCAAGTTTTAAAATTCCTTTTATCAAGATTGGTGTGGTGGCACATGCCTGTGATCCCGGTACTCAGGAGACTGAGGCAGGAGGATCACTGTGAGTTCAAGGCCAGCCTGGGATACATAGTGAGTTCAGGTCTAGTGTGAACTACAAAGTGAGACCCTGTCTCAAAAAACAAAACAAAACAAAAATTTCCTTTTATCATTATAAGAATAATTCATACTGGTCCTATTTGGCTTAAAATTTTTTGAAATAATTTCAGGCTTATAAAAAGGTTACAAGGGGCCGGGGATTTAGCTCAGTGGTTTCACCGCCTGCTGCGCAAGTGCAAGGACCCGAGTTTGATCCCTGGTACCAAAAAAAAAAAATGTTGCAAGACTAGTAAAAAGAATTTCTATATCCTGTATCTTAGCAATTTTAGTTGAATTGCTTTATTATTCAGATTCTCTCATTGTGTATGCCCTACTTTTCCTACTTACTTTGATATATGTTGCAGACTTATTATCCCTTTTTTCTACATTCTTCAATGTATAATATCTGAAGGCAAGAATATTCTCTTACCTAACCACAGTAGAATTATCATAAGAGATCTTAAAATGAGTATTATTAGTTGGTTTTTAAATTTAAAATAATTGTTATCTGTAATTAATACTTGTTACAGAGCTTCAGTGTACCACAAATTATGCAACCTACTGTTCTTTTTTTCCCTTCCCACCTATTCTTTTTATGACTTCCTAGTAATACAGAGTATAGTGACTGATGAATTATTTGATGATAATGATTATAATTTATATTTGACCACTGCTGGATTTCAAGACTTTGTACATTTATGCCACTTGCCGAAGTGTTTCAAATTAATATTTGACTTTCCTTATCATAACTGCACAAAGGGTTTTCAGAATGTAATTTTTTGGTTTTTAAAATTTTGCTTCTTTTTTCATAACCATAACATCTTCTTTTGTTTTGTTTTGTTTTGTTTTGGGTTTTTTTGGTACTGGGGATTGAACTCAGGACCTTGCACTTGCAGGGCAGGCGCAGTGCCACTGAGCTAAATCCCCGGCCCATAACCATAACATCTTATATTTCTATGGCAGAGATTTCTAAGAATTGCCTACAATCCAGTATTCAAATATCCAAATTGAGAGAGAAGCCTCGACTTAAACCTTCAGGGGACAAATGTGTGCTTACCATATTTAACATCCATCTTCTTTTTACAAATATGCATCCCTGAAAGTCTGTGCAGTGTCAGGGACCATCTGTCTCACTCCAAGACATACATGAGGCCAGTGAGACTCCAACTGGCGAAAGACAGATGTATTTATACCTTCTTGGTCAGCATCTTGAAGCAGCTCTTGGAGGAAAGAAGGCCTGTGTTGGCAACAGCTGCTGCTTACGTCTGATGATGTACATGGGTGAAGGCAAAGGAAGTGCTAGAAATTATGTGGCTTCAACAATTACCCATTCAAATAGAATCTATTATCTGTCAGAGACAGTTGGATTGGAAAGCCCAGCTTACTACATTATCGTGTTTTTGTCATACAAAAGGAAGAATAGCTCTTCTTATCTATTTAAAGTGCAATTTGGTACTAAAGGATTGCTCCATGTCTTGGACTTTAGGTTTTTGTGGTAGGAATTTTTAAGCAATATTTCATAGGTATTTGATTGAATTAATGAATGAAATGAGGATAAAGTTTTTGGAAAATACTTTTGGCATAATAATGTACACAACAAAAACTTTCATCAGTGTACTTAGTTATATTGTTTTAGGTCTAAACTTATTTTTACATACACATTAGTTTTTAAAATTAATATATTTTGCAGTACGTTCACTTTTATGGAGTACACATACATATTGCATCATGATCATTTGTAATCTCCCTTTTCCCTATTCACTGCCCTCCTCCTCCTCTCCAAATCCCCCTTCCTGTCTCCAAAACGTCTACCTCCCTGTTTTCTACCATCTCTTCTTTCTTTTCCTTTTAAAATTATTTATATTTTACATTTCTCATGCAGCAGAAACCACTTATATTTAACCTCTGTGTTGGATTTATTCACTTAGCATTATGGTTTCAAGACCCATTCACTTTCCTACAAAGGACCGAAATTTATCTTTCCTTACAGCTGAGTGGTACTCCACTGTTATATACTGTGCACATTATTTTGTGGGCACAGCAGACAACAGTGAATGTCAGAAAGAGGTTGGAATGTTTCATGGAAATAGAAAATATAAAAACTGAGAATTAAAGTTAAATCCCTGCTCTAAACTAGTTGAACGTTTTTGGAAGTAAACATACTATGATTATTTCATAGGTCCTCTTTTACTCAAATATATGTAGTTTCCCACTCCCTCTTCCTCTCCTCACTTTTATATTAATTCATTTCTTTATGAGTAATTAGGAGTAGGTGTTAGGAACCTGAGGCCCCATTCTGTAGAAATATAGCAGACAGTATAGTAGAAAAATATTGAATTAAGAATGAGAAGCCCTTGCTTCGCCTCCTAATTCTTCCTCCTATCATCATTGTGTTTTATGTAAATTTCTTAATCTGAAATTGTCTATCCCTCCCTTCTCCCTCCCTCCTTCCCTCCTTCCTTGCTTCTCTTCCTTTCTCCTTCCCTTCCTCCCTCCATCCATCCGTCATCTTTTGACCTTAGTATGTATGAGTCCTCACCAGTTCTTTGATCCCACTGCTTCATTTCTAAGCCTCACTCACTATTGAGCAACCCCTGAGCTAGTTCTGAACACAAGCCCCACTTAGCAAACATAGATATTTGCTTTTTCTTTAGAAATGGAAGCAATTAATAGGATTTGTTTGAATGTTTCCAGTTGATATTTACAAAACAAATCTGTTATCAGATCTTGTTATTTAAGTAAATAACATTAGCACATAATAGCCTTGAAGAAGGTTCATTCCTTATTTTAATTCAATTATGTTCTTCTTGGCTTATTTAAATGATAGCCCTAATCCTTATAGGCAAAGTTCTAAAGAAAGAACCACCAGATAGATGAGCGGATAATAAATCCCACATCTTTCATCTCTATCTTATGTAACTGTTCTTGATCACTATATTCTGAGTGTTTGGTTCCAGATATAATGGACAGTGTATATTCATTAGAATATATATACTTATGTGTACATTTATGATTTTTTTAACAATAGTTTGAGTTTCCAGGTTTTGTGCTAAGTAGAGTACTGAAACCATACCATAGTTGATTGCATCTTAATGTGAGTCTAGGGATTTTTAAAAAATGAAATCTACTACAGAAGTCAGTATTAGTATTAGAAGTCAGCAGGCATGACATCCTGCAGAAGTTTGACATTATTTATGCTATGCTAGTCTCTTTTCTGTTGCATGTGGCAGAATTCAAACATTATCTAGTATTTTCTAATGAAAATCTTTTACATCTTGAGTTTGTAATTTAAATTGGCATGACAAGTATGTTTCAAATTAGACAATTGTCTGTTTCAGCTTCAGTTTACCCTGTAGATCAGTAGATTGAGAACCAACATAGATTTCTCTGGTAAGGAGTAATTGAAATTTAATTAATGAAAAAATTAAAACTTAAAAATGACATGAGGATTAATTTTCTCATATGCTTATAGGAAATGTGAGTTTTCTTCAGTTGCTGCTTAAGAGAAGACACACAAAATGTAGAAGGTATTAGAGTTTTTAGAATTTATTTTTAAAGCAATATAGCTTCACCTAAGTATTTCACATGTAATGTTGTGTAGCTTTTGTATTTATTATTTGTTTGGGTTCATTCTGATGTCTGCTCTGTAATGTTCCTTCTCAGAACAGGATCAGCTGAAAAACAGGATTTATAGGGTATATTTATAGAATTCTTCTCTCAGAATGCAGGTATTTCTTTTACTCCAAAGATGATCGTGTTAATAGAATCATTAACCTTTTATCATGAGAGGCACGGTATAGATAAGGGTTTAAGAATGTTCACATGAGATAAGGTCTTACTTTTTTCACATTAATAAAACCTACACTTACTGTGTTTTCTGTGAGTAGAACCAAAATCCTTGTGCTGTTATGTGGTATTCAACATGTCAGAGTTTAATGACTTACCTAGTATAAAACATAGTTCTTTCCCATCTTCTTAAAAATTCCATGAGAATTCCTTTGAACACTAATGGCTAGGTCATTTCAAAGTGGCCTCTAAAGAATTGTCTAATAATTGTTGCTGGCTTTTTTGTTTCTTGACTAGTTTTTCCTAAGGTTTTTCAATTAGAGTTTAGCTCAAAACAAACATAATTATGAAATAGTGAAAAAATTTTATATGGCTGGATTAAGCTTGCTGAAGTTTAATAGTGATTGGAAAACACAAAACCTCAGATCCAAATTAGTAATTTGAGTTGCATATGTTAATATTATCTATAACTCAATGCACTCTGACAAAAGCTGTCTTTTCTGTTCTCCTCACCCCCATCCCATTTCAGTACAAAAGTACAGCTGTGGACTTTTGAAGAGGGAGAGGAAAGTCATAGGTGAAGACAGCTGGATCATGGACTTGTACTTTGTGACTTCATATTTTCATTCTTTTGCCACCAAGGAAAGATTAAATAAGCTTATTTCAAAAGAACAGCTGACACTAACTTTACAAAGTCCATAATTACGTCAGTCACTATACTTCTTTGGAGTTGGTAGATTTTCTTTCACATGTATGTGGCAGAGGTCCAGTTTGTAGGGCTAGGCAAGAAGTGGGTGAATATAGGTTGGATGTATGCCACATCTACACACTAAACCCCGTCATCCCAGCCCTTTTCCTTTTTCTTGAACTATATTGGCCCTTGGATCCTTCTTTGAAGTAGGGTAACTTTTAACTAATACAAATGGGTTATGTTGTGAGTAGTGACCCTTATTGTCTTTAAAATTGACAGGGCTCTTATTTACTGTAGGCCTGTTTATTCTAGTGTCTGGCGATTTATATTTTATTTTGGCATTGTGGGGCAAGGAAATGACTAGAGAAATCTCCTTAATTGGTAACATGTTGTTATTGCCTGGCAAGGAAAATCTAGATTTTTTTTTCTTGGTGCCATTTGTTGGGATGACATGCTTCCATTTTATACACAGTACCAGGTTGATCAGCCTGGCCTTGAACACACTATCTTCCTGCCTCAGCTTCCAGAGTACTGGGATTTCAGCCCTGTGTCATCACTGCCTGGCTTAACATTTTCAAATTCTTGACAGTGAATTAGCTGTGTTCTGCGAGATACGGTGGGAGACTGTCCCATGCAGGTACACTATACATTAAAAAGCAACAGAGGCCTAGGTGTTCCAGATTGCAAGCATTTCTGTCAGAATCATTTACACTTTTTGGTATTCAGATGTCTTGCTTAAAGAAGTAAAATCAAAGAAGCTGGCTACCATGTGCCAACAGAAACCTGTTCAAGTTGGAGGTATTTCAGGGGATTTAGAAATGCCTTGAACCTTTCATTTTCTGATCATTTCTGCATGAGATCATTACACTTGCTATTGGGAGATTGGACACCTCAAGTAGTCTTGGTTAGTTAAATCTGTATTTTTCAAAGTGCAGGATGGGCTGTAGCAACACTTTCCCCCCAATATAATTAGTAAATTTTAAAATCAGATAGATTGTGACCAATGTTTTTTTCTTTAATGAAATAGAATAGACTAAAATGCAGTTCTGTTACTGGTTCTCCAGACCAGCGGCAATGGCATTGCCTAACAGCCTTTCGGAAATACAGACTCTCACACTTCAGCCAAACCTGCTGTGTTAGAACATCCACTTATCTCCATTGTAACAAAAACTTGACGTGGAAATAGAATGGAGTAGAGTTTATTACATATAAAAAGCATTCATTATTCATTTAATAAAAAGTATTATTGTTTCAACCTTGTGTATTTTCATATACACCTTAAAATTTTCATATGCACCTTAAAATGTTTGTGTATGGGTGACAGTCAAAAAATTTTTGAATCCACTATTTTTAATGTGAACAATGATGTCATATTCCTGGCTGTGTTTTTATTTGAGAGTGTATCTGTATGTGTGTCTGTCTGTCTGCCTATACACACATACACATGCACGCACACACACAGAGTTCTGCAGCTGACCCCAGAGCCTTGCACATGCTAGGCAAACGCTGTCACTCTGAGCTACATCCACAGCCCCCTGGTTGTGTTCTTACCATTGCCTGTGACAGAACTATCCTTGCTTTGCATTGATACAATCTTTAAAGTTTTCTTTGTAATATCTCACTTTTCCTTCTATTTTGCTTTCTTCTAGTTATCTTTTATGTTTGTGTACCTTCTTTGTATCCTCTCTACTTTAGGCTCAGAATTGTGTTCATTGTTGTTAAAACATTTTGTTCAAGTTTTAATTTGTAGTCAAATATGCTCAATTTATTGGAGAAATTGTTGCCAATTAGCAGGATTTTTCTTTCGAATGTTCTAAGTTTCAAATTTAAACAAGGAAATACCAGTGTGCTTTTACCAGTGTGCTTTTCCCCATCGTTTGTTGTCTTCCAAATGTCATATGTTATAGTAAAATTTCATTTTGGATATAATTAAGTTACTGAGTCTTATTTGTGTGCAGATATGCATAGCATGTCTTAAAAACCAGGAATAGAATTTTGAGTAAAAACGTGTGTACCATTGAAGTTCCCAGTTGTATTTAAGACATGAAATTGTAGCTTTAGTCAACCTAGCCCAGTGCAGACCAGGTAGAGGAGGTTAAGGTATTGGGCCACAATTAAGAGACATGCTAACTTCCTGGGATATGACCACAGATAGAGAAAAATCCTGCTACGTACACTTAGTGTTTACTCCTTTGGTCCACAGTATGCAGTTCAACTTACTAGAAACAAGCAGCTTGAAAAATATGTGCTTACTTTGTACGGTTGTGAGACTGCCACTAGTGAACAGCAAACAACATTATATCAAGGCTTTTATTCAGTCATCTTTAGCTAGTTTTAAACATTTTTGCCACAGAATCACACATTGGGTGCTCTTCTCCATCTGATTATTCCATTTAATTTTTTACTTTGTTTTTAAAGGCTGAAACAGTGAGTTGTTTTTTTTAAAGTTAAAAATATTACAGGGGTATTCCAGAAAAGGGGGAGAAATAGAAAAACTTGCTAACTCTGTGAAAATTAAGGGTCTTATACCACACACATCACACAGTATATATAACAGAATTGCAAATGATTACTAACTACAAATGAAACTAACTTGAGTTATTTTGCTACATACTCTAGAACAGTATGACATCATGTATTTGTTAATGTTAAATGAGTTTTCCTCTAATTTTTTGTGCATTTTCCCCCCTTTTCCATGAAGGCCTTATCTCTTTGGAGCGGGGTGTTTTTCCATAAAAGCTCCATGGTGAGTTCCCGTTCAGTCCCGCATGCCTAATTCATTTGCTGTACTCTCAAAAAGTTAACTGTGTTGTAGTTTTGTTTTCAGTTGCATGGCCTAATCACAGATAGATGCACCAACTTATTGGATAATTGTAGATAAGATATGAATGTTGATCTTTAAGCTTTTGAAAAAGTAGTTTTCTTAATTTTACTTCATTCCTTGAAAAATTTTTAAAAATCAAAATATATGTTTTAAAAAAGGAAGATGCAAGAATTAATTCTCTCATAATGCTGGTGTTTAAGACAAGGCTGACACCTGTGTTTAGAGTTTGAATATTTTAGTGATAGAAATTCCTTACATATCAGGTTTAATGTAGAAGAGTTAATTTATTTTGAAATATAAATATACTTTATGTATAACAAAAATGTCGTATGAAGTTTTACTGTATTTTATTTGGTCCTAAAGGGACAACACTGAGTTCTGTTTTGAACAGTTTAGTTATTTAAGGAACTACATGATGAGGAAATATATATAGTATTTCATAAAATAACTCATAAATGATTTATTATTGTGTCCCTGCTCACCATAACTTAATTATTTAGTAAATTCTTAGAAGTACATAGAATGTAGCATTGTCAGTCTTAGGCATGATGACCATAAGAAAGAAATTGAATATATTTTATACTTTCATTTAAAATGTGAATTATAATCCATTAATAACTTGATATAAAGTGTTTTAATAGTTAGGAGTCAGGGCTCCAGAATCAGACTACCTGTGTCTTAAATCCCAAAGTTATATGATCTTGGGTAATTTTTAAAAACTTTTTTATTTCTTGCTTTTCTTATTTATTAAATGAAATTAGTAGTAACATCTACCTTGTTAGTTCATTGTGAGGATTAAATGAATTGATATACACACACATTTCAGAATACAATAACCATGCCTGACACATAGTTAACCACTCATTACTACTAGTAGTGCCTCTCACCCAGTTTAAGGAATAAATACCGTGTTTGAAAACATGCTTTAAATTAGATTGTATTATTTGCTTTTAGGAGCATATAAGCAAAAAAGGAATTTTTGAGAAATGTATAGAAGTTTTACTAAATTAGAAAATCTAAAAGACTTCTGCACATATGTGTAGTTCTCATAACAATGACTAGGAATTGTTGTTTGTTTCATCTTGTACTAGAAGCAACATTTTTTTTCTTGTGGATGAAAAGAAGTTTAAATAGCTCTTTTAAATTAATTGTTATTCAGCTCAGCCTATTTTCAGTGTTCAAATGCCTGTGGAAATTCTGAAGTTTTCATAATCATATAAGAAAAGGTGATATAAATAGCTATAACATATTCCTCCTTGAAATGCAGCATCATAATTAGGCCAGAGTATGCAAAACTGTTTTTAACAGTTTCAGTGCACTCATGAGTATAAATCTTCTGAAAGTCTATCTTTATTCTTTTTGTTAACCAGATTTCTTTTCAAAAGTAAGACACATGGACCTTAGTTAAAAACTTAGAGTGAACAGTGAATTTTAAATGCTACATTCAGCATATGACAAAATTTCTTTGTATAATAAACTTAGAATTAAATTCCATTAGGATAAATTCTTCATTCTAAGTACAAAGAACAGAATTTTAGTATGTTAATAAAGATTGAAGTTTTCACATAGAACTAAAGATGTAACAAATGTTGCATGTTAAATAAGAAAAGTCCACTCCCCCAACAGCTTATGTGCTCCTCACATTTAAGCAAAAGCACTTGTCAACCAGAAATGATTTGAGGTTGAAACAAGATTAAAAGAGCCAGATTAAAGAAAGGGATATATGAAATATAGTAGACTTTTAAATCATTGCCTGTCTTTTAGAAGACTGCTTTGTGGTTTGTTTGATGCCATCGTTAGCTCACAAGAAACTCGTTTTTAGTCACTTATTCTAGACTAAAAGGTCCTCCTTTAAAATACGTTACATTTCCAAGAGTGCATGTTTTTTCCATTAAGATCTTAATGAAACCTCAAATTAAGACAGCAAAATGAATATAAATTTGACAACTTCTTCCATGTTTTTTATAAGAGCTCCTTTGTTTTAATAGTTTTTGATATTTTTCCATTCAACTTGAGAATGTTTTTATTTACTGTTCTGAAATAAAAAGCTATGCTAAATAAACATTTATAGCACTTCAGTTGTAGGATAATCTATATATTTTAGATGAAATTTATTTTATAAATGAAATTTATAATTTCTCTTAAAATGTAAATTTCTTTTTAAAAATAAATTGCAAGTTGCAGCATTTGTACTTAGTTAAGATTTTGCTTTTGGTATGTCACAGTTTCTATTCATTCTTTATTCTTCACTAATGGGGTTTAGTTCTGTAAATTCATGCAACCTCAGATAAGACAGTTTTAAAATAGTGTTGTTCTCTTTGACATGAAAAGAATTTGTTAGAAAGTAAACTGTGCAGGCCGTTGGACACTCTAGTCAGTTTAGACTTTCCCAGTATTTTATAGTCTCTAGATCAGTGGTGGCGAACCTATGGCACGCGTGCCACAGCTGGCCGTTTGTTAACATTGAAAGCTCTAAAAGGTTCACCATCACTGCTCTATCTTATCCTTTGATATTGAAGGTCCACATGAAATATAAAAGAATTACACATGAACATACTTAATTAACTATAGACATTTAAGAGAAACAACCAGTGAATTTTAGCAGTTTTGATTTCAGTGTTACCAATGTGGATGTAGTATTATGTAAATAGCTTTTGAAAAATACCCATATGCACTTAACAGAAGGATAGGAAATAGTCTGTATGAAAATGTCCTCTCAACATTGTTGTTGTATTATTAAAGGTTAAATTTAAAGAAAAGTTAAAATTTATGTATCAAATTATTTTTAAAGCTTTAATTAGCATTCTCTAAGATTACTTGATTATAATATAAATAGTTCATATAAATCTTCTGGAAACTATTTTAAAATTTTACAGTTTTTCTAAATGGTAAGATTTATGTGGAGAGTCAAATCTTTTCTTATTAATTTTATGTAAATCTGTTAAAGCTTTAGGAATAGTTTGTACAAAATAGAATAATTTTATGAAAATTATTAGTATTTTCATTATTTAGCATAAAATATTTCCATTTCTCTCTCCAATGTCTTATTTTATTTTATTTATTTTTTTACTTTTTGGTACCGGGGATTGAACACGGGCTCTTGTGCTTGCGCAGCAGACGGCGAAACCACTGAGCTAAATCCCTGGCCCACCAAGGTCTTATTTTAGAAAACAAAATTGAGAATGAGAGAAAACTTCTAAATGCCTTTTAAGAGTTTAATCATAGAAGAATATAAAGAAAATAATTTAACCATTATACATCTTATAATTCTTAAGTTGATATTGTGTGTTACATTTAAACTGAAATATTGACTGTTCACTAATGTTTTTGAAAAGGAATGAATTGGTGCTTCTATCTCATGTTAGTTCCTTCCATGTTCATGTTCTTCCCACCAAGGCACCAGGCTGCATTACTGCTTATCATGTCATCCACATTTACATTACATATATCCTATCCTGTGGTACATAGTAGAATTATCCAGATGGAGATCATTGTCCTGTATGTTTTAAGAAGATATCAGGGTTTGTTTGGTTTTTTTCTGTTTGCAGTTGAGTGTGGAGAAAAAACAGGCAAGAGAAATTCAATATGTTGATCTGACTGGATAACATAATGCAGTAAAAGACAAAAGGAGAAAGAAGGGAACTTCAATAGCCTATATAAATATTTTTGAAGTCCTAGGGATGTTAATATCTCTACACTTCTGTTGGCAGTAATTCACATTCTGTTGTTTGAGTATTAAGTCTTTTCTCAGAAAAAAATGACAGTTTAGCTCTTGATTTTTAATTTAACACCTTATTTTTGTTTTAAAGTCTGTTTTCTCATATTAATTTTTGTATTCGACTTAGTAAATATGATGTTTTGTGATCATCGTTATTTTTCCTGCTATGGTGAATGTGAGATTCATTCCATTTTTCTTTTATGTTTTGCCCAAAATGAAACCAAATTTACAAAGAAAATTGAGTACGAGGTTATTTATGAAACATGAAAGGGAGCAAAGAAGCAGGAGGGTCTATCAGGATTATCAATGTGTCATGTTCTCATCTATGACCATTTTGAAAAATGAATGAGTCCACATAATCCAGTTAAACTTCGTGGCACCGGTATAAATTAAAATAATCACTTTTATATCATTATATTATCAGTTTAATAAATGAATAAATAAAGAGAGGGCCTTGAAACACCCAAAGGAATTCTTTCTAAGTTCATGCTCTCTAATAGGATTTGTTACAGCCTCTGTCACAGGAGAGATGATAAGAGCAAGAAAGAGAAGGTTAGTATTGAGTGCTTCCTCTAAGGACTGTGTCCCCAACCTGTAATTCTGCACAGTTTACAAGGATAGAACTTTTCTGGCCTGGGGATTTAGCTCAGTGGTGCTGTGCCTGCCTCGTAAGTGCAAGGTCTTGAGTTCAATCCCCAGTACCAGAAAAAAAAAATTATTCAAGGATAGCACTTTTCTGTTCCATTCACATGTATATCGTTTTTCAATGTTTTCTTTCTGTCAAAGAAAGGACGTTTTGCAATAGAAATATTCTGTGTCATTGTGGAAAAGTTCATACATAGTATGTCACATATATTAATAGAAAAGCCATTCTGGTTCAACCAAACATTCCTGGACACTGTCTTTTTAGAACAGGATAAAGGACAAATTGAAACTTGAAATTTCTCACTTTGGGTATATCACATAAAAAATATTTTATTAATAAAATTCTTTTATTAGATTATTTCTTTTTTATTCCTCTGTAAGTCTTATATATGCATGCACATATTCTTGTTTCTATTTTGTCTAAATATCCAAATCATTCCAGATGTAGATTGATGACAGAAATAATTAGATGTGAATGTATTTATCCAGTATGCTGCACCCCTATTATACAGCACTATGACATGTAGTGGATAGCAAGTTATTTTGAGGGGTGTAAACTCTTCATTCCTTATTAAACCTGAGGACATTGATTAAAGCTCTATCAGAGAAAAAAGAAGAAATGATGAAATGTAAGAATAAAAGTGACAGTTCTTTACATAAATTAAGCATACTTTTACCAGGAACTCTTATGTATTCTGTAGGGGATAGTGAGCTTGTGCAAAATGACATTGCATTGATGCTTTTTTACTTCTGTGTTTCACAGTTAAATCTTGTGTAACTTATAGAAGTTTAACATATTTTAGCTTTTGACATGGGCTGATTACACTATAAGCTAATAAGCATATAGAATATATCTTTGAGTGTCCAAAGACGTAATGAAGTCTTAACCATTTTTCTCTTCTCTATGGTTACGTGATAGCCATCTAGCCAGGTGCCAATTATTGTAAAGTCTTTTTATAGCCATACTTTAAAGGAACCATATTTTCTCTCAATAATGGCATACTCACTTTTTACCACTTGATTTAAAGACAACAACAAAAATCACATCTAGTAATTTACAAAGAGCTTTGAATTTGTCTCTGTGAAAGCTACATTGAAGTATCATTGTTCCCAGATGGTAATGCCAGTAAAAGCACATACTCACACAATTGCAAACACCTTTCAAAATTTTTTGGAATGGTTTCTTCTTTCCTGTTCTTCCCCAGCCTCTGAAAACCTCTAGGGATTAAAAATGACCAATGGAACCACAGATGTTAGTTATAGGAATTTGTCTGCTCAATAATTGCAATTCAGTGATGAAAAAAAAACTTTCAAGGAAAACAAACACTGTAAGGTAATGCGACAGAGAGCATCCTAAACTGAAAGAACAGTTCTGATTCCAGAGACCTGTGTAGCAGGAGCATGTGCACGTTTGTTCAGGTGAAGTGTGGAGGGAGTCTCCCTTTCTGGAAGTAGGTTACTGCAGTTGGGACAGATGCAACTGTGAAAAAGGGAAAATGGAGAACCACATTTCTTTTTCTACAGAAACTTAAAAAGACTGTGCCTTTATTCCCCTCTCACTGGAAGTCTTGCTGTGACTGTGTTGATATTTTAGGCCTGATTGTGATTTGTTTGGGAAACGATATCAAGTGTTTAGTAAATGTCAATGGTGGAAAGAAGATGCTTTTTCATATATAGCAATGTGTATTGCCGTGGCTTTTGCTCAAAGAGGGAGACCAGTTGGACCAATCATGTAGCCTCTGATCCAGACTTTTAATTCTTCTTGGAGGGAAGATGTCAAAACAGAAGCCTTCAGAAATAAGATACCTGAGAGACTATTTGAATTTTCATAGGAACTGGGAAACTAGATTACCAAAGCAAAAATCTGATTTTTTAAAAAACTAGGTGAAAGCTGTCAGCTATGTAGACGGAACAGTAATGTTTGTTGCATACAATGATGTGAGAAACTGCCTCCCTGGGAGGTTTACTTTTTTTTTTGGTACCGGGAATGGAACTTAGGACTTTGCACTTGAGAGGCAGGTGGCGGAACCACTGAGCTAAATCCCTGGCCCATACTTTTTAAATCTAACGCAGTTGTTCTCAATCTTGACCATACACCAGAATCTCCTGGAGGGTTTGTTAAAAAACCCTTGAAGCTTGATGGGCTTCAAACCTCAAATGTTTGGCTTAGTATGTCTGGGATGGGACCTGATCAGTATTTATTTGCCTATAAATCTCAGAAGTTACTAGGTGTTATTACTAACTAGGGACAAGAATTTAGAAACAGAGATAACATAATATTTAAGATAACCCTACAAGGTAAGCATTACCATTTGTATTTTACATATTAGTAATCTGAGTTCTGAGAGGTTAAACAAGTTTACCAAAAATTGCATACCTAATAAATGGCAGCATCGGGATTTAAATTGAGGTTTCTCCCTGACTCTAGAAACCTCTTTCCATCCCAGCATATTCTATTAAAAGATAAAGGGATAAAGTCAAGTGAGCAGAAGAAGGTAGAAATCAGAGTGTGATGGTGCTTACCTGTAATCCCTTCCACTTAGGAGGCTGAGACAGAAGTATTAGAAGTTGGATCCCAGCTTGGGCAATTTAGGAAGACCCTGTATCAGGATTAAAAAAAAAAAAAAAAAGTCTGGGGATGCCATTCAGTGGTAAAGTGCTTGACTAGTATGTATGAGATCCTGGATTCAGTCCCCAAACTACACACATGCACACACACACATACATGGTAAAAATGATGTTGTTTTACATTGCAGCCTTACCTGCAGAGCTGGAACATCAGAGATGTAGCATTCATTGTATCCCATCAAGGCTGTGATCCTTACCAGTGCACACTAAGCCTGCTTTTCTGGTCCCTGAATTACAGCGAGTAATTTATCTAGGTGTTTGATAAAAATTGCTATGACTGAGTCAGGTGTGATGGTGCATGCCTACAATCTCAGCACTTGAGGGACTGAATCAAGAGCATTGTCATGAGTTCAAGGCCACCTTGGGCTGTATAGTGAGTCCAAGGCCAGCCTGAACTATGTAGCCAGACTCTGTCTCAAAACAAACCAAATAAAATAAAATAAAATTTAAAAGTCTAAAAAGATAAGGAGCAATAGTATTTGAAAGGAGATGAAACATTAGTATTTGAGGTTATGAAAATTTTTGTTGGAGAATAAATAGGAAAGCAAGTCCTTTTTAATGAAAGTCATTTGAAACATCAACAGTTCTAAATGTGTCCTCAGATGTAGAAAAAACAGAAGAGATTCATGTTAGAGAGGCTATCAGTTTTAATATCTACCTTGGCCTTTTCCCCAAACAAAAATACATTTCCACAAATCCAGGAAGAAAAAGGACTGTACGACCACTGAATATAATTTCAGTAGGTCATTAGATCTTTTTCTAGATTGTCTAACTACATAGCATTGTACTGAGAACATTTTCAAAGTTTCATTCTAGATCATCTCATTTTCATACATGCTGTCTCCGTTCATTGTATTGTTAGTCCCATGTCTTATAAATCAAAGTTAAATGATAATCCTTTTATTATTGGGAGATGTTTAATGCTGGTATTTTTTTGCTCCATTTAAAAATCTCCATAGAAATGTTTTCCACCTGAAAAGAAGTAACTTAGATTTCACCAATAAATACTTCAAAAAGTGTTTTTGTTTTGTTTTGAGATGGGGTCTTGTTATGTTGACCAGGGTGGATTGAAGTCCTGGGCTCCAGTGCTCAAGTGATGTTACTTACCCTTCCTCAGCCTCCTGAGTAGATGTAACTATAGATGCACCCCTCTGCACCTAAGAATTTTTTTATTGGTCTTATATAGATTCTCTTGTCCAGATGTTGGAACTTTGACTAATGTCAATTTTGCTGCAGAACATAATCTCACACCACCATTTATTATGACAAAATGCATGTTTTATTGTAGCATTTAAATACTTAGAAGTGGAACTGAAAGGAAAATCATTCTCTAGAAGATTGCCATTTCATCATGGTAATTTTTTTACTGTCCTTTTATTTTTTTTTTAAGCAAAGTTAAACCACCTCCGCAAATTTCACCCAGCAAATCAGTAGGCGGAGAATTTTGTGTGGCTGCTACATTTGGAACATCCAGGTCATGGTTTGCAAATAATGCAGGTCTGAAAAGAGAAAAAGGTATGTATTTTTTCTGAAGTTCAAACTTGTCATTTGTAATTTTTGCTTCTTAATGAAGAGCTTGTACCAAATAGCCTTTTTAGTTTTTATTAATAGAAAAAAAAATGTCCATTCAATTAATGTGTCCTCAACTACTCAAGCTTAGTCAAGAAGAAAAATTATCCTCTCACATAAACATGAATTTCCCACTGACTGATTTTGTCTTGTTTTGTTTTCTTGATGACAGTGTATAGATGATCTCAATGCTATTAATTAACTCCATATCATTTCATTCTATAACTTTTACATTTTTACGAGCTAATTTCATACCATTGTCCTCAAAGTATGGGGAGGAAAATCCTGGTTATCCCCACTTTAGAGATGAGGAACTTGAGATCAGCAAATGTAAATAGCTGAGCTAAAAACTCTGTTAAGTACTTTAGATAATGAAATTAGTTTGAAGCCATGTTTTCTCATGCTAAATCTTAAAACAAAACAGTAACAGCTGTGCTGTGTGGTTTTTTTTTTAACATGATGGAAAAGCTTGTCACTGAGAATTAAGTGAACTTTTGTTGTTAATGTTGCTCCTTTGAATTGACAGTTATTATGTTTTTGGTTTTTTTTGGTACCGGGGATCGAACTCGGGTCCTCGCGCTTGCGCAGCAGGCAGCGAAACCACTGAGCTAAATCCCCGGCAGTTATTATGTTTTTAATCCTTGCTTTAATCACTATAGTCAATACCTATAATGTTTGTATAATTAATGTTTTAGTATGTGATTCCTTATTACCTATGTATAGGAGAGAATGCCTACATTCATTGACAAAGTATGTAATTTTGAACGTTAGGATTTTTCCTTACTATTTTAGTGTTAAATTAGGTCACGAATTGGGTTGCCTCTAGAGCACTTTTGGCGAGTTCTACAGCCTGTATTGTTCTTGGCAAAATGGCTCCGCTTTACGCTTAATACTGGCAGACATCAGCCTCTTCCCTTGTTACTGCCATTCAGTGACCCTTTCTCTAGTAACAGGATCTCAGGAACAACAGGTTCCTACCTAAGTGGGATAGAATACTGTAAAGTATGTAAGCCTTCCATTTCCTTATCTCATCTTTATTTTTTTGTTACCTCCTTGGGTTTAATGATGCTATCGAAAAGACTTTTGTTACTAGTTAAAACCTTCTGTGAAGCTCAGTTTCAAATGCTTCTCTCTTCTGTTCTAATTACCCTTTTAACTTGCTACTCCTTTATGTCCCACTGGCTGGTCATTAGCCATTTTCTCAAATCAGCTGTAATTGATTCTCCTGACACAGAGATAAGATGACCCATCCAGCATTCATGAGTGATTTCTTAAATGCCCCTTGGTTTACTGTAAAACCTGAGATTGAGCACTAAACCTGTTTTGCCAGTGAGTACATGTGTATTTCTTATAAAGTCATTTGATTAGATCCATATTTACCACCTGACTTCTCAAAGTATAGCTGACCTTCATTTACTGTGGGAGCCAGTGATCCAGTTGAAAGAAAAGAAGAAGTTGAGTGAGGAGGATGCAGGTGTATGGATGTTTTTAAAACACTTTATCTCTTCTAGAGCTTTCAGGTTTGCAGCAAAATTGAGACAGATGTACAGAGAATTCCCATCTACCTCCCATACAACACATGTATAGCTTCCTTTATTATTAACATGCCCATCATAGTGGTAGATTTGTTTCAAGTGGTGAGCCTATGTATTGACACATTATGAGTTTTGTTTGTTTTGATCCAGTAATTGAGGTTTTAAATTTGTTTTCTGAGAAAAAGTAGCTGAGGTGTTAGACTGATGCAGGCGTACAAATAGCCTCTCGTGTAGTTCAGTTTGTTTATCCAGTGTCACTAAATCTTAGTGCATAGAGTACTCTTTTTCAGTTAGTCCTTTCTTGTCCCCCCAATATAATTCATTTTCCATAATTGGGACAAATTACATAGTAGACAAATGGAAAAGTATAAAATATTGTCTACTCTATTAGAATTTTGAGCACATTTATATCATTCTTGAAATAATTGTTTATCATTTGAAGTACTGTGATAGCATAGAGATTTTTACATCCATCAGCATCTACTTAATTAAAAGCAACCTTTAGGCAAGGATCAGGCACAGTATGACAAAGTTTCCATCTTTTCATTTCTTCTCAGCAGCCTGAGGAGTACAATGACAAAATCAGTAATTTGTTTAAAAAAATAAGGAAAATACCTTGTTGTGTTTTTTTATGCCATCACTGCACATACAGATCTTGTTTCTCTGTTTGTAGATCAGTCCAAACAGGTTGTTGTTGAATCTCTCTACATTATCAGTTGCTATGGCACCTTGGTGGAACACATGATGGAGCCCCGACCCCTCAGCACTGCCCCCAAGATTAGTGACGACACTCCACTGGAAATGGTGACATCCCCTCGAGCCAGCTGGGCGCTGGTTAGGTAGTGCCTTCTTTTTTCTTTCTTTTCTTCAAACAAGTCTGAATGATTAAACATGTCCCATTTGATAGTTTTGGCAAATGGTTATAGCTGTGAAGTCATCACAATTGAAATTATAAATATATTCATCACTCTTGGATGTATGTTTGCAAACATTATGATCTCTCCTTTTGCCCTTCTTTGTCACAGAATTTTATATAAATGGAATCATATATATGCACTCTTTTTTGTCTGGCTTCTTTCATTTAGCAAAACTATATAGTTCTTTATCGTTGAACACATAATTTACATACAGTGAAACTCAACCACTGTACGTGACTTTTCATAGTAGTGTACCCATTACTCTAATAGTATTCATCACCACTTGGAATCCTGTATCAATCACTCTCCATCTTCCCCTCACCTTTCAGCTGTAATCATCCAGCAGTTTACATTCTGTCCCTGTAGATTTGCCTGCTCTAGTAATTACATAATAATGGAATTGTATAATCTGCTACCTTTTGTGTGTGGCTTCTTAGCCTATTTTCAGAAGGTCCATCTGTGTTTTCAGAAGGCCCATCAGAACTTACTTTTCATAACCAAGTTATACTCCATTATATGGATATACCACATTTTGTTTATCCATTCATTAGTTGGTGGACATGTACACTTTTTAACTATCATTAATAATGTTGCTGTGAACTGTGGTGAACGAAATTTGCATTTGTTTTTAATTGTCTTAGGTATATATATTACAGAATTCCTTCATAATTCCACTGTCTCTTTGCATGTTTGTGTTATCTTGGACTTGTGCTTCCCCTATTTGTAGTCACATGCTCACTGAATAGTAAGTAGCACTGAGATTTCCTTTAAGGGGAATAGAAACTAATATAAATAGATTTGAAGGTTTCCTTTAAAGTGATTCTCCAAGATACAATGGTTAAGCACTATAGAAATGTTTATAAAGAATTAAAAGCCATTTCAAAAGTGCATAATGATTAGAATCTTTGTAACATATCACAGAGAGGGAGAAATGAAACCTGGAATAAAACCTGTTCAATATAGTGCATTGTCCAGGAGACAAAAAATTGCTTCTGACATGTATGGAAGAAAACAGACAAAAATGGATATGAAAATGATCCTCCTCCTTTTGACATTTTAAAATATTCTTGTATTGATTTTTGGAGGCTCCAGCATACTTTACTACTACTTTACTGTGCTGGACTGATATGATCAATATCTGATTTATCAAGCTTAGAATGAATTGGGCAGATCTAATTATAATTACTGCAGTATCATTATTGAAATAGTGGCTTATTTTGGAAATCATATGCTAATTAGATGTGGAATATATCATCCATTTACACAGCTGTGTTTTATTTTTACCATTTTTACCTGCCTCATTTCATTTTAAAATATACACATGTTCTTTGAATAGAGAGGTGTAACACTGATTTAAAAATTATATAAATAGAACCACTTAGCTGTGGCATTTGAATTCTACACTTTCTATTTTGTCTTTTCAACATCTTGTCTATCTAATAGGAGACTATTGCTGTTAAGGTAATATTGGCTCCACGTGTGTTCATTGTGTGACACATGGCCACTTTTTTTTTTTGTAAATAGATGACCTTGTGTTTCAGCATGTTCATTTTAATGATTACAAGTTCATTTTAATGAACAGAAAAACAGTGAGTTTTTATCTGTGTCTGTAAGTGATGACAGTTGTGGTGATTTACATCTCATCTATTAAACTTTAAATATTAACATTCTTCTGCTGATTTCATAGAACGCCTCAATGGAACGAATTGCAACCACCATTTAATGCGAACCACCCTCTTCTCCTCGCTGCAGATGCAGTACAGTATTATCAATTCCTGCTCGCTGGTGGTAAGTTGTTCTGATTGGGTTTTTTTCTCTATGGGCTTTTCAGATTTTGTCTTCAAGTGCTGACTTTTAAAGCATATGTGCACATTACCACTGGTCTGTACGCATAGTCCTTGATAATCTGACTGAGGCAAGTTAAGATATTGAACTATAATCCACACCTTAGGGCATGTGAAGTATGTCTCTAATGACAACAGGTAGATTGATGGGGAAAATTTGGTGGGCACACACAAAAAAACCTCACAACTCAAAACTACTGGGATATAATAAACCATTTCATAAAGCTTTGAATCTGTCTCTTAGAGGAAAAAAATTAAGCACTTTTCACTGTGAAAACTCTCAGTAGGTTTTTCTTTTTGTAGAATTTTACTTGAAATAATGAAGTAATGATTCAACTCCTTTACATTTTACCCCCCAACCCCACCCCCTAACCCCCTGCTGGCCATGCTGGACTTCGATCCCAGGGCCTCAAGCATGCTAGCAAGTGATTACCCCTGAGCTAGTCTTTTGTTTACTTACTTTCCTGTCTAAACTCTAACCTTTATAGAGACTGAACACGGTTCATCAAGCTAGGTATATAGGCCCCCCCACACTTTTTTTTTTCACATGGGAAGCATGAAAAGACAATTTAATATTTATTATCCAGTTTGTGTTCATAGAATTAAAAATTCTTTACAATTATAATTCAATTTTTTAGAATGGACTGAATCCTAATTTAACTTGATGGCTCTTGAATACTGCATGTTTTTAAAAAGCTTCCTAGAAATCAACATTGACATGTTTTTAATAGAGTTTTCTTGTATTCAACTTATTATGTTGCCTAGTATATTATAAAGTATGAATTAATATAGAGCTAGAAATATTTTGTTTCATTTTTATAATGTGTTACATATTATGCTAGAATCTGAAAAATATTATGGGCTTTGCTCTACAGTTATGAAACTCCACAGCTATAATAAATAGTTGGCAGTCCTACACAGTGCTTAACCTGGTGCTTCTTGTAATACATGTTCAACAAGTGCCTATTTTGTGTCAGGAACTCGAAATTTAAACATGAATAATATATTGCTCTCAAGTTCAGGAGACAGATCTTTAATAAGTACACGTAGGGAACTATAGGAGCAGTGCCTTAACTTGCCAAAGGCATCACAGAGTGCTAAATGTTAGTGGTTTTTAAATTTGTTCAAGAAGCAGATTATATAAAAATTCATAGCTTTTAGAACTAAGTGTATAGGTTTAGAGCTAAAGCATATAGTTAATTTACATAAGAACTGAGAAAACCATGACATAATACATGATATTAAAAAATCATGGGTACATTGTCCATTACCTTTCAAAAGTGGCAAAAATAACTAATTGTTGCGTTAAGTATAGTTGACTCAGAGTTTATATTGTTCTTTGTTTTGTTATTTTGGTACCTCCTCTGTCTGTTTAGTAGAGAAACAGTAACAAGTTCAAACTATTTAAGAAGCTATTAAGCCCCCCCCCCCAAACCTCTGTATGTCTTAATATTTTTCCTGGTGATTAAAGTGGTTCATACTACTTGATTTTAAGTAGCTTTGTTCTTTTAACAAAAATCCCTAGGTACATAGTTTAAGAACCACTGCTGTCAGTAGTACTAAGCCATCAGATATTTTCACCACTAGAATTGGATTCTATTTGGTTTAATTAAGTAATTTGGAGGTACAGGCACTGGAAGCCAGGGCCAGGGCCTTCCACATGCCAAGTGTTCTACTACTGAGCTCCATTCCTGACCATACAGAATTATATTTTAGAAAGCCAACTCCTGGCAGCATTGCAGCAGGAGGGTCAGAGAAAGGGAGTCGAGGCTGGGTGATCCCAGAACAAGCAAGAAGCTTTAATTAAGAGAAGGAATTTGAGTGAGAGTCCTGGATATGCCAGTATATTACATAACTGAGGCTATTAGGTAATGCAAATGTGGACATTTGGGTCAGAGGAATAATATCCTGGAATACCACTGGTTAAAGCAATACTTTACCTGCTGATCTGCAAGTTATAACATCAGTCAGAAGACTTCATTATTGTCTAGCTTTCTTTCCTTGTCCCCTCATTGAAAAGTATTCACTCAGAAAGGTATTCTATTTCTTTAAAAACAAGTATACCAGACCTGATATCAAAGTTTTATTTTTTTGTTTTTGCTTTGTTTTACCCACCCATATTTAAATCATCTCTTGACTAGGAATGTCACTCATTGGTACAGTGCTTGCCTAGCGTAGGAAAGCCCTTGGTTTGATCCTCAGCATTGCCCAAAACAAAAAACAAAGAGACAAACAAAAAATAAAAGAAAGAAAATCGTCTATTAATTTCCAACTTGAGGACCATGATAAGTACCTTTTAAAAATTATTTTTATGTTCCAGAACTCTAATGCAAACTTTACAAATGTTGCATGCATTTTCCTTTCTTGTATTTGGATATTGGATCAAGTGAAGCCAACTTTTACAAACTCCGGAAATTGTAATAATAGTAGACAAAGAATGATGTAAATGGAAATAGGAAAGAGACTTTGTCTCAAGGAGAAGAGAATAGGCAAGCAGGATGTTTAACAAGGAATCCCTGTTCCCCCTTCCAGTCCTGTCTTCATAATAAATACATTGCTTGTTCATAAACAGAGTTCTGCATATATGGCAAAAGGGTGGCTGATGGGAGAAGGAATGGGAAAAGTATCCAAAACACTGAAGACTTCTACTCACCTTTAAAGTGAAATAAGTAAAAAACTCCACATTCTGTATTCTCCCCCCCCCCATTAACTTTATTGGTACATTTTAGGTATAAAATAGTTACATTCATCATTGGGATCTTGTACCATTACATGAGTCTCTTGGTTCTTATTTTTTTTCCCCTTCCCTTGCCCTCCCTTCACCCCCTCC